GTGTAGCTGCGTTACAGCACTGATATAGCGCTGCACTGCAAAAACGCGTAATAATGGAATTCAAAGACATTAGGCTTTTCACTAGCTCTTTCGTTGAAGAGATCATAACGAATTTTGCGTGCATAATGTCGAAATCAGCTTATCATAAAATCACTTCTTTGTTTGTCTGATACATATGAAACTTTGCTGCAGGAAATTGATAGTGATGGTGATGGTCACATCAATAATTCGGAAGCGGTAGCGATGGCTCGGCGACAGGATGATATGGATCCTAAGGAGACGTTCAATTTATTCATCGTCGCTGATCAGGTCTTTATAACCAGTTCGTCCACTGACCAACCCGCCTCTTTGCTTCATTTGCTTTTACACCGTTCTCGCTTGATAAAGAAAAAAAAGGAGGGCATTCGAAAGTTCTTCGACAGCTGCTGAAGCTAACCCTACAAACACAAAAAATTTTTTAAATATAAGTAATTTTGTAAGGCACGGGAAATAGACATCATTTAATTTTGGCGTCAGTGTTGAAATAATCGATTTCTTGGCAAAGCAGGCCTCTTCTGAACGAATTTCGTGCTTTCAGTTTTCCCTCCTCGCATTCAGCGTCCCATACATCCTTTCGTCTTGAATTGGTTTTGTGCATAACTTTCTAAATTTAATATTTTTCTCCTGAATCTCGCCCCTTACAGTTGATTTGAATACCTTTTCGTCTCAAAAGCTGTACTGTGTCCTCTAGTCCTCTACATGTGTTTTGTTGACTCCCGTAAATGATCACCTCGGGTATTTAGCTCAACAGTTGTTCTCGTTGATGATCGTCGAAGTGTTGGGCTTCTTACTGCACAGACAAAGTTCTAGTTTCGCTCATATTTCAGGACAAAAGTGGAAAACTGGACAAAGTAGAACTCGCTGATCTGTTGCGACTTGTGCGACTTAGTGCCATCAAATCTGCCACTGATCATATCAAAGCAATTTTTTCACTTTCTGCTCATTTTTGGGGTCATGCAAAAAGACTGGCCACCGGCTTACTGTCTAGAGCAATTTAATCTACTAGATCGCGAAAAAACCTGTTAATAGTTTTAGCAACAGTAAAGTTACAGTGGCGGTTTTTAGCAAATCTCTTTTCTCGGATCTCGAGAAAATGCCGGCGGATACGGTGCATTTGCAGTTAGTGCTGTTTTCATATTGAAGGTCCAGAGTTTGACTCTCCCAGTGGGAAGATCAAGTCGACATGATTTGCTTCATTCGTTTTTATGGTATGTTAACATTGATCGTATATGAGGAATCAAAACCGAGGTCAGCTGCCTTTATGCAACCCACAAATAGAGAGCCACTGGCAGCAATTACTGCCGGCGGATACTTGCTTTTGGCATGGCCTTCACTCGAGCGACTTTCAGAGCAGCTCCGTCTTTTACAGGAAGCCAGTGCGGAGGGACTTTTCACATGGATTTTTTAAAAGTATTTGCCAGCTAATTATCCCATTTGCGATGCTGGTGTACGTTCCTTTGTTTTTCCTGCCTTTCTAGAGAAAATTGTGAGCTACTACTCCTTTATTCTCAATCGGTGCAAGTTTTACAGTTCATTGAAGCCCCACATTTTCCCTAACGGCGATTGCACACAGGAAGAGATGTGCAGGAGGTTAACTTTATAAAAATTTCCAAGTGCAAGGTTAGGAACTTTTGATGTAGAGGAATTTTTAATCATTGGCGACGCGCACTGGGCAGGCCCTTGCGATCATGCGTTTTTGCAGTATTTCGTGCTATTGTGAGATCGCCTGGAGTCCTAGTAGTTAGAATTTATGGCACTGGTAAGTGAAGTTTAGAAAATTAATTATGCAACTAAATCGGAATTAGTCAGGAAAAATCCCCTCGGAATTTCAACCTTCAGTCTTTTCCGGTCCTCGAGTTGGCAATTTTCTCACCAAAAATTTTCACGGGGCGTTATTTGAGAACTACACATATCTTGGGGCTTAATTTGAAAACTTTAATTTGTATATGGGCTATCAACATCTTTTTAAAATTTCAGCCCCCAGTCTTTCTGGTTCCCAAGCTAGCGATTTAACCACGAACTGGGGAATTAGGAAAGCTCGGAGACTTCACGGTTCGTACATGAGAACCACGCAGGGGGCTAAATTTGAAGTCTTCGAGTTCTATGTGAACGGAGAACATAACCGTAAAATTTTGGATTTCTAGCTTTTCTGATTCTCGAGTTAGGGATTTTCCCGTCAAAAAACTTCACGGAGTCGTACATGAGAATCTTGCATACTTGGGGTCTGAATTTGATGTCTTCGTGTTCTATGTGGACAGGAACAACCGCAAAATTTCAGCTTTTTAGCTTTTCTGGTTCCGAGTTAACGAATTTCGCTCCAAAACTTTCGCGCGCGCGGACTCTGCGCGTGCGTGAACGTTGGTACCACGGTCCTGGGGTGGCACTTGGACGGGGAATCCACTGCCAGAATTTCGGCGCCGGAGCTTACCTGGTTGCCAAATTGAAACTCCCGGACAAACTTACACACAGATACACACACACACA